CCCCCCAAAACCCAAGAAAAACCCTGGCTCGGGGAAAAAAAAAAAAAAAAAAAAAAAAAGAGTTTCTTTGTATAGTCCTGGCTGTCCTGGAACTTGCTCTGTAGACCAGTCTCTCGTCTCAAACTCACAGAGAGCCGCCTGCCTCTGCCTCCCGAGTGCTGGAATTAAAGGTGTGCGCCACCATTGCCTGCTTTGGATGAAATTAATTATGGCTCTTTTTAATTTTTCTTTTTTTTTTTTTTAAGATAGAGGCTCTGGCTGGCCTAGGACTATGTAGACCAGGTTGCCCAGGAAGAAAGGAGGGAATCTCCTGGTATGTCAGGAATTTTTTTCTCTAATAGAATCCCCCTCCCTCTTTTGTCCTTATGCTAGCGGGGACAGATTGTACAATTCTGGTGACATGAAGATGTTTTTCTATAGAAGGAAAGCATAGGTAGTGGTCATCTGGTCAGTGTGGGATTTGTGGCTTTTTTTTTTTCTGAGTAGTCACATGTCCTTTTGTTTTCGTCAGCCCTGCCTCCACAGTTTGCCTGTTTTCCCTGTACCTTATCTAGCTAACCTCATGGGGAGGACAGGCAGGACTAGAAAGCATATCTATCTTCTATAAAGATATCTGTGAGCTTGATTTCTAGTATCCACATGGGGTGGCTCACAACTACCTGTAACTCCAGCTCCAGAAATTCCACACTACTGACCTTTGTGGGCACCTGCACTCATATTCCCACACCTCCCATATAAAAAATTAAAAATAATAAAAGTAAATATTTAAAAAGATGTCTCTGAGATGAAGAGAACTTGCAGAAACAGGGGTGGAAATAATACTGATGAAGATGGTGGCTACAGGATGGTGAAGACCAGGGTACTGATGTACATGTACTTGGCTGTGGAGGTATAGGCCTGGGATCAGTAATATCACCCATCATCTTCCAAATGACAAGGGACCTTAGCGAAAGACATCTGAGAACCAGATTCTTGGACTAGGCCCCGGTCATCTTTCCTGCCCACTGCAGTCTCTCTGCTTCAGGTCAGGACCCTACTTCCCTTTTCACATACTCAGACTATCCTGAAGGCCCCAACACTGCTTGCTTGGGGGTGTCTAGTGATCCTAGTGGCATGGACAGGAGTAACCAAGGCTTTGGGCCTGAGCATCTGAGGAAGGCTGGGCAGTGAAGGAGGATCTAGCCCTTGCTAAGGATTTGAGCTGCAAAGACCCTGAGGTCCCTTTATCAAGGAGGTTCTTAGCATATGAGCCTGCAGACTTCCTGCTGGACATGCATTGAGCTCTTGGCACACACAAGCATCTTAGCCCTCAAGGAAATTATCCCACTCAAATGCTAGGATTGGGAAGGGGACCGCTAACAGGGCAAGGAAGAGGCTCAACCTGCCCAGGAGCTGGAGGGAATGCCTATCACAGGGAGTGGGGAGGGGCAGTCTCTTTCATTATTCCTTTCTGCCTGCTATTTTCTTCTTAGCATTCATCTCTAGCAAGTACGTGTTTGCTTTCCTATTTGTGCATGTCGGCAGAAGGTGACATGACCAAAGCCTGGATTCTGGGTTCTGAGTTCTGGAGATGGAGGGCCATGGTATATGCAGCTCTGGTCCTGAGGAGGCAGCCGCATGTCCATTCAGCCTCAGGGTCCACCATGCAACTGTTTGCAGCCAGTGACCTGGAGCAGCCTTCTCAGACTGCAGGGGGGCTTTGGTGGGTGGTCTGCAGCCACTGCCCATGTGGTGAGTGGCCTTTGATGGGGTCTTTTGAGAGGGGTGGGGGATGCTGGGGTACAAGGGCGGGCCACACTACTTGGCAGGCTGAGGCTGTAATTTGTGTTATATATAGCGGGTGGGGCTGGCCAGCCTGGGAGGGTAGTGTGGGGCTATAAGCAGGCCTGGCAGTGCTCAGAGAGCACAAGTCTCATCTAGGAAGACACGGCGCTGGAACCCATGGATACTTCATATCCCCGTGAAGACCCCCGGGCTCTATCATCCCGCAAGGCTAATGATGCTGCCCACATGGCAGTCTCCATGAGAACACCGGGTCCTACACCACGAGACCATCTGCTGTGGTCAGTCTTCAGCACGATCTACCTGAACCTGTGCTGCCTTGGTTTCCTGGCGCTGGTCCACTCTGTCAAGGTTAGCTTCACGGCTTATGGGAAGGGCTGGGGAGGGAGAATGAGTGTGGGGTAAGAGGTGATGTGGGTTGGGGGTAGGGATTCGAAAGAAAAGTATATGAAGGGTTGTCTGTTAGCATAGCCATTGTCCCTCACCAAGTTTGGGGACCACTAGAGCCTATCCGTTAAGCAGTGTATGCACTGTCCACAGGCCTGGCTATATAGCGCCCCCAAAAGGGTAAAGTCCTTAAAGGTTGTCCATAGAGGGAGTCCTGCTGTAGCTCCTGAATGGGACTGAGTTCTTGGTTTTCCAGAGGACTCCTCTCCCGCAGGAGGCTCTCAATGCTGCTGCTGATTCAGAATGGCCACTGATTCTTTATCTGCAGCCTTTAGGCTGGGGTCATCATGACTCAGGACCCTGCGTGTTGGGAGACTGTGGGCCTAGGGGAATGTCTCCTCAGGTCATACAGCTCCGTCAAAATTTGGAGTCCAGCCTGTGCCCTACTGTTGCTCTGGGTGATCTCTGGTCCCTGTGTGTGGACCAGAACATGTAACATTTTGGCTCTGGTGCTGCTCTGCAGGCCCGAGACCAGAAGATAGCTGGGGACCTGGAGGCTGCGAGGCAGTACGGCTCCAAAGCTAAGTGCTACAACATCTTGGCTGCAATGTGGACATTGGTGCCCCCATTGCTGCTCCTCGGGCTGGTGGTGACTGGAGCCTTGCACCTGTCCCGGCTGGCCAAAGACTCTGCGGCTTTCTTCACCACCAAATTTGACGATGAGGACTATAACTGAGAGTTCTGAGCCTGTCCTGAACCAAGGACAACGATACCAGGTCACTGATCCCTGATGCCCAACACCAGCTCCTGGGGGTCATAAACTGCACCTTGGTCCCCACCCAACCATGACCCCTTGTCTACCATGTGTATTCGATGCTGATCCACTCAGACCTCTTAGACTTTACCTCTAACACCCCCTCTCCCCCACTTACCAGGTTGAGCCTCCATTCACAAATAAAAGTGGCAGATTCCAATAACGTGTGGGTTCCTCCTTCTTGGTGGTAGTTGTGTAGGGAGTCTCAGCACCAAATCCTCTGGCCAACCCCCAGTCATCTGATTCCATCTGCTTGGCTGCCCCTGACTACTGTTTTTGCTTAGCTATAGGGCAGCCTGTGGCTTCTGGGGTGGAGGAGCCTAAGTATTTTAGGATGAAGTTCGGGAACTCAGGCCTTTGATCCCTACTGCCCTGTGGTTTGATGGGCTGGGTCCCAGAACATGTGAGGGTGTGCCCTGACTTCCCATAGGCCACAGTGGTCTTCTTGCCTCCTGGGTCAGTAAAGGCTGTGGGGAAGGTAGCAGGGTCCACTTTCTATGTGGGACTGGACACTGGACTCTATCTGTACACAGACATACACAGCCTTCTTCCCTGCTTTCCTCGTTCACTCACACATGCTCAGAGGCAGACAGGCAGCCGGTATGGATAAGTTCTGAGTCACCAGTGGTACTAGGTGCATGTTCTCACATTATTTGTCCTCTCTATGTGTCACATGCCCCTGGCTTCCACACTAGATTCAGCAGATACATAGACACACGCCTCAGGAGCTGCAATGAGCCCCACCCCGGCCCACCCAGGTTCTTACAGTGGCCGGCTTATGACAGAGCAGGCAAACTGCATAGGTCTTAACCAAAAGTAGGCTCAGGGTCCCTTTCTTCCCCAGGATCCCCCTTTCCCTGCCAGCTCTTTCTAGCTGGAGGTGTCTGTTTAGCTGCCCTACTCAGAGACCCAAGACTGCTCCCCATGCTGTTACATACCTGTAGCTAAAAGCTGGCCCCGAGGAGCTCCAGGCTACTGCTTTGCCAAGCCAACCCCTGGAGATAGGTGCATATGCTGACCCTTGTTTGGGAATGGAGATAAGCTAGTGCTGGGTACTAGTCCTGTTGTGGATAAGGAACAACGGCAGTGTGTGGCTGCGCTTACACAAGGATGGATACAATGTACTGATCATAAGCCCCTGGTCTAGTTCAAAAAAAGATTAACTCCAGCTGGCTACAGGGACTTATCTGTTCCTGGGGAAATGTCTCCAAACAAGGGCACTTTTGCCAGCCTCCGTATATAATTTGGGGGCAGGATTGCCTGATTTGTGCCTGGTTCTGAGGACAGAGTGTGTGGTCAAGCCAGTGAGGCAACAGCAGCAGCTTCCAGTGCTCCTGGCTTCTTAGACCCCATCATCTGTGCCAGCCCACATGTCCCATGACCCCCATGACCCCAGAGGCTTGCCATACTGCATGCACAGCAGTGACCACACACACACAGGGACGATGCACATCCAGGTACTGGGCTACATCTAGTCTTTGGTTCCAGTGTCACCAACCAATCCGCTGATGCCCATGCCCAGTCTTGGCTTTAGGCAACAGATGAACATCTACTTCTTCCAGGATCGGCTCCTGGCCCACCATAAAGAAGGTGGAGGAAGACACAAGGGCCCTGCCTTGCCTCCGAGCTTTGAAACCACATCACCATTCAGTCCCAGGTGCAAAGGGACATGAATCCATCACACACCCAGACTTTAGGAGCCTTTTGCCAGCACTGACTTTTAATTAGCCTGGTTGGCTTGGTACAGGGGCACAGATTTCACCAGGATCCTGGCCCTGTGCTATGCACCTTGTCCTGGGAAAACACTGATAAAGTATGCCAGGAACTGAGGACCAGCGGTGAAGCTTGGGCAGCTTCTTGGCACAGATGGCCAGGGTGATGGCCATGGAACCATTTGACTCCAGTTTCTCTGGTCACAGCCAGGAACTCGTACTCTGGTGATAGCGCTGCCTTCCTTCTTCACGTGGTTAAGGACTCTCACCCTAGCCCACTATGCTAGACACCATATGATGTCAAAAGGAGTCAAAGAATAGGAAGTTCAAAGCCACAAACCCTTGAGAATTTGGCCAGCCCTTCCTTGTCCCAACTGCACGCCACAGAAAACTCTTGTTTGGGGTAGATAAGTCCCTGGCTCTATGACCCACCTGCTGGCCACCTTCTAAGCAGGGCTGCTGGCCATTCACCACCCAGTTATTTGACCAGAACAATCCAGAGACCAGAAGAAGGAGAAAGGGGAAGGTGCAGAGGGAACGCCCAGTAGCCTTAATGGCTTAGAACAGGATCCAGACTGAGAGACTGTGGGGGTGTGGAATGCAGCTGAGAACGCAAAAATGTCTCCGAGGAACTGAAAGGTGGTTCTAATGTCAAAACTCGGCTCAGGAAACACTGAAGCGTTGTAATTTCTCAGCAGCTAGGGCGATGACTTTTGTATCCGGCCTGCTGAGTGGGGAAATGAGACCTTATGTCCTGCAAGAGAGAGGGTTAATCCTTTAGGGCATGCACCAAGACTCCTGGGTCACATGCCCAAAGGCTTTTTTCCTTACCTGGCGTTAGGGGGAGCCGGGCCAGCGATGGCCACAACTCAGCTTCTAGCAGGGGTGCCCATGGCTCTGCATGGGCTGTGACCTCAAGTGTCACAGAGTCCTTGGAAAAGGTGAAGTTGAACTTGTTCCCCAGGTAGGAGATGCCAGAGACAGACACCCTGGACACCAGGTCTGGACACAGGGGGTCAAAGGTCATACCTGCCTCAGTGATCCTGTGGGGGAGAGCTGTGTGAAGAGGGTTGGGACAAGTGGGAATTCGCTGCTGGTCACTGCACTCACCTGAATCCTGTGCACCCGAAGAGTACTGTCTGCAGAAAGCCCCCCATGCCCGTCAGGAAGTTCACGGTGCCAGACCCATCCGCATTCTCTGTCCACACCTACAGGCAGCAAGGGTGGCTGTGACATGAGGCTACCAGCCTAAGCAGGGCGCTTATCCTGCTGAGACTACCACAGTGGGAGAAGAGAGAGGCATGGGTGGTAGGTGGGAGCCAGGCTGACCTTGAAGGGCTCAGTGACGTTGATGAAACTTCTGCTCAGGAGGACCTGGGCTCTAGAGGGCTCCTTCAGTTCCATCCAGCCCACAGCAAACATACTCTGAGGTCAGAATTCAGATATGGAGCAGTTAGACTCACCGTGTGGGAAGGAAGGTGAAGACAGTAGGGTAAGACTATCCGCCAGGCTCCTCACCCAGGTCATAGCAGGGCCCTGGGGGGATGTCACAGCCTCATAAATCTCCAAATTTTTCCTTCGGATGTCAGGTCGCAGGGGGAAGGGGACTGGGTATCCCAGGAGCACAACGTCTGCCTGCTTCACTTCTTCTCCTGATTTGGGGGAGGGGCAGCAGGCTAGGGATGGGCTCTTTGTCAAAGGGATGAGGGTGTGCCAGGGTGAATGGGGTTTGACCAAGCAGAAGGGCCCTTGAAGAACTCGACTTCTTCTCCTGATTTGGGGGAGGGGCAGCAGGCTAGGGATGGGCTCTTCGTCAAAGGGATGAGGGTGTGCCAGTCTGCATGGGTTTTGACCAAGCAGAAGGGCCATTGAAGAACTCAGTACCACTCACCACGCACATAGCCATCAAACTCAGGGTGGAAGTTCTGCTCAGAGTCAAATGGCACCTTGATCCTATCAGCCACCTCCAGCCACTGGTTGGGGATAGGCAGACCCAGGTCCTTGGCCAAGGCAGCAGCAAAGCGCAGGCTGGGGAGGGTATAAGCCACAGTTGCATGGCTTCTGACTGGGCCCTGTCTGTTGTGCTGGGCTGGGGAAGGGGATATCTTGTGTCTGACCTGTTCTGCACCAGGACGTTGGTATACACAGAATTGTTCACTCCTGAGTGGTACTCATCAGGGGGCATGACTCCTGGTCACACGGGGCCACCAAGACAGTTAGTGTAGGGGCTCAGGACACGCCCTTCGATGCTAACAGTCCATACTGAGTTGGCTACTGTGCTCCCTAGTCCTCACCTTTCAGGTGGTACATCTTCTCCTGGGGGCTCCATTCTACACGGCTGCACCAAAACTCAGCCACAGCACTGACCACATCCCAGCCACCAGCCTCTTGGAAGAGCTGCAGATCCTGGAGAGTGAGAGCAGGGCAAAGGACCAGGCATAGAAGAGAGCCACTGCACATGGCCAATGCCTACCTTTCAAACACCCAGAAAGCAATGCCTGGCTTCCAAAGTCCTTTTTCACATAGCTTCCTAGGGTCACGGTGTGGAGTGTGGCCTCAAGAGGTGCACGGGGACACGTGGGATATAATGGTGCCTCACCTGAGTGCAGTGGTAATACAACTGGAAAGCCAGCACCACGGCTCCATTCACATGGACCTCCTGGATCCCGTAAATGTCCTCAGGGCAGACCTCCAGGCCAGTGCTTGCACTCTCCCAAGCAAATTTGGCTCCCTGTGAAGAAAGAGGACAGAATGGTCAGGTCTTGATCTGGAGGGGTAGCCCCTTCCTACCAGAGGTGCGAACCTTTGTGGAGGGAAGGAAAGAGGAGGGATGAGGGTCTGGTGGTTACTGAATGGCACTGGAAAGACCTTGGGGCAAGGGCCCTATAGGATCGTTCCCAGGCCCCATTACCCGGTAGCCTAGGTTCTGGGCATTCTTCAAGGCCCCTCCCAGTGTACGGACTCGGTATTCCAGGATGGCCCTGGCAGCCTCTGGGTGGAACATCAGAATATTTGGGAACATCCAGAGGTCCTGAAAGGGTGAACCATTCTTGGGTTAAACAGAAGTCCATACCTTTGCCTTCCCTTACTGCCCACATTCTATCCTGCCAAGGCTTCCAGTCAACACACAGCAAAGACAGTTGGGGGCTCCTTCCCTCACTCCCTCCCCTCTTCCTTTCTCTCTCCCTCCCTCCCCTTTGGTAGTCCTCTGCCTCTCTCTGAGTTCCTCTCATGCTTACCCAGACCCATCTCTCCTGCCTGCCCACTCCAATGCTATCTCTCCAGCCTAGACAGCCCAGAGTTCTGGTCCTCAGACCAGGCAGTATCAGGAGTTGCTAATGGCTATAGTTTGCATCAGCATTGAGGCCTCTAGGCTCTCTGACTGCCTGACCTCAGCTTCCTTTGGCTTCATCTGGCAAATGGGCCACAGCACTGACTTCATAAGGTGTCAGATGGGGGAATGGCCTTGAGCTTCCCCCCTCAATCCTTCCTCACCCAGTGGCCCTGACCTCTCCAGCCCTTGCTTCCCAGCTACTCCTGGCAGATCTTTCCAGACTGTATCTCCACCTGTGTCATTCCTCTAAAAAGTCCCAAAGACCTCCTTAGTCCTTTGGTAAGCTCCAGGCTTGTCCCCAGCTCACTCTGAGGCTCTGGCTGTGTGGGCTGTTCTTTCCACCTCAGTGAGGCTTCTCTGCCTTCAAATACCACACACCTTCAGCCTTTGCGACTTCTGTTGCTCTTTTCTACCAAACTCTTACACATCTTCTGAGAAACCATCTCTTCCAGGAAGCCCTCCTGTCTATAGCCCCTGTGTGTCTGTCTATGGTCTTGATCTCAGGTAGTGCAAAGGCAATGCCCAAAATGTTTTCAAGCAGCTCTCCCCATGTATCCAGTGCAGGGTGTACCTGATCCCAGAATATATGGCCCCAGTAGCACTCCTCCTGACTCCCATTAGCGAGGCCTCCAGGGCTAAGCCCATGGTTGATGAATCCTTTGGTGCCGGGCTGGGGAAGCTCACTGAGCAGGTAGTAGAGAGAACCACGAAGGGCTTGGCGCAGGGCCAAGGGCCCAGTCACATCCAGGCCACAGCCTGCCCAGAGCTGGACCCAGGTGTCTGCATGGACTGTATACAGATCACCCCTGGTTTGCAGCTGCAGGGCCTCAGCAAAGCAGCCCTGGGCCTCAGCCTGGCTGCCACCAACCACAGTCAGAAAGTCCCAGGTCCTGTCCTGTTCATCTTCCCCAAGTGTCAAGGCTGGGGGCACTGGTATCCACAACATGTGTACTTCCTGCTGTGGCTCTCCTGGCTGCTCAGGGGTGAGTGTGTGCCCATGTAGGTACCTGCAAGAACATAATGGAGTCATAGGGAAAGACTCCCTCTGAGCTACCTAGATTTACCCAGTGTGCTCCTTACCGGGCTCCCTGGAAGTCAGGCCCTACTTGCAGGTCCAAGTCTGGGCTTTCTGGAGAGAAGGATGATGGTAGCAACACTGTGATGGGCTTGTTGCCTGTAGTCAAGCGTTCAATGGACACGCTGAAGGCCAGGACATGGGGTAACACACGGTGCATCTTGGGAGGCAGCCTTTTATGCTTATTTTTTTCTTTCTTAAATTAAAGGACTTTTGTTTACTTATTTTTGAGATGCATCTTGTTATGTATCTGAGGCTGTCCTCCAATTCTCCATCTTCCTGCCCCAAGCGCCCCAGTGCTGAGATTACAGGCCTCAGTCATAGACTGGCTTTTGCTATCCCTTTCCCTTGTGAGACTTCATGG